TGATATTTTGCGAGTAGCATCCCTGTTATGATGTAACTACATTAATTTTCATAATTTTTTTAAATAAAATATCCTATAATTAATTTTTTCAAAAATTCTTTCATGTATATTTTGTGTGATATAAATAAGTTAAAATAATATTAGTTAAAATAGAGATAAATTTCGAAACTCTAATATTAATGATTTGTTTGTATTTAGAACCAGGTGTATGCAGTTTACCTCAAGCCATTGGGAACTGTTACCATTTCAGAGAGAGGTGGTATTACAATTCTTTTGAGAAAAAATGTCAAAGATTTTATTACAGTGGTTGCGGTGGTAATGAAAATAACTTTGCATCATATTTAGAATGTGAAAAGCAGTGTCATGTATCTGTAGACGATAAATTTTCAGAAGAATTTAACTTAGGTAAGCAATAATATAATACACTCTTTTGTGTGCAACTATATTTGTACTTTCTGGTCCCAAATACCATAATATTAAATGACTAGCATTGTCATGTCAACACTTCAAGTGACATGATCCTCAATAAACATAAAAAATCCAAATTTATTTGAAAGTTATTATTTATTATTTTTTATTCTGTTTGTTAGTGAAGATTGAAAAATTAACACTGAAAAAGGTATTCTTATTTTTTTGGTATATTATTTATGTTTAGCTTTTAGTAAATTTTATATACGAATATATCCAACTAATATGTATAATTAAAATAATTGATATAAAATAAGCAGTTAAATTTGCTAATCATTATTGGGGTTCTTTTTTTGCACTATATTTAAATAATCTCTTTGCTTATAAAACCTTAAATACTCCTTCATAGTGATACTGATGAAAAAATAAATTAGAATGTAATCGATAGCTTTCTGCATTGAGTTATATAATGTGTCAATAACTAATGCTTTTGGATTTAATGTGAGCTAGTTTCAACAGGGTTATTACAGTAATGAAAAATATCAAATATATTTAGCTTTTGTTATTAAATGAAGCAGTTTTATGCATGGGAGTTCAAAATTATCTTGCGCATCTGGTAACTTAATAAACCAGGATTTGAAGTAAATACTAATTATGTATATATTTATGTGTTAACTGGTAACTCTGTCAAACAATACTAATGAAAGGTAAATTAACTTCTCAGATGTGTGTTCATTTGAACCGGATGGTGGTCCTTGCAATGGAAAAAAGATTCAATGGTTTTATGACAAAGATGGTGTATGCAAGCAGTACTACTACGGTGGGTGTAAAGGCAATGGAAACAGGTTCAACACCAAAAAAGATTGTGAACAGAAATGTACTGCTTCTCAAGGTATCTATTTTTTTTATTTGTGTAGTCACTAACTTCTTCTTCTCATTGGCACGACAGCTCAGGATGGGCCTTGGCCTTCTCAATAAGCCTATGCCAAGATATTTTTCCCTTAGCCAAGGTTCTCCAGTCATCTTTAAAATTTGTAGGTCCTTTTCAAGGCAGTCTAAAAATCTTGCCGATGGGCAGACTTAGTGCAGTCTCCAGAGCTGGTATCCACTCTTTCAAGACCACCACAA